AGAGATTAGATTAATTGAACAACAAATTAAATGAATATCTAGTATTTCATGTTAGACATATCGTACGCACTATGTAAATGGTCTTGTAAAATATTTTCGGAATTTAAATCTCGATGTAAAGGTCGAAAGCGATGCAATACTGCTGATTCAATTTAAGTTTACTCAAAGCAACTTCAACACGGGAACATTTGTTTGGATTAGAATTCACACATTCTCTTGCCAATTTAATGCAGTAATTCAGGGGTTTCTCATGTTGTAACTACTGTAGATCTTTATAACCATCGTCTTTTCCGCCTTCGGACACTTTTTATCGAAATGATAAATATGATAATTTCATCTATGTGACTATTATACTTTTTTTTTTTTTTTTGTTACTACGTATTGTATTTGCGTGTTGCCCATTCTGATACCTACGTATTTATCTGTCAATATAGTTTCCTTTTTTGGACAACAATTGAATCCGTGGATTTTCAAATGTTCTCTCATTAGGTTAGATTTTCTTGATAACACTCGAATTTCTTCTAACAGCCTATTTTGTGGAATATGTCCATTTCTCAGTTACGTACGTACCAGAATCAGATCTCACAAACTATAATAATATGCAACTATAGCATAAATTCTCTGTTCAAGAAGGTTTGTACATAAAGAGCCGTAATCACCTCTTCAATTGTGGTTTTACATAATCGTAGGTTGATTTCCATATTTTTTGACTGATTCTGCATTTCAGAATGAATTTTCGATATTTTGAATTTCTTCTGAGTACCAAGGTTTTCCTTCTGTTACGTGCGTCAATCTAGGTCCCGAGGGTAGTGCCCCTGTAGCATCTTCCAGAAAACGGCTTTTTTTTTTTAGTACCCAATTTACTGATTCCAAGTCCAGTAGTACTTCGTTTCTCCGGTTGTGAGCCTATTATTTGCGAATTTGTGGTATGATTAAGAAAGATCTTAGGTAGCTTGTCACATGGTAATTGTGTATTTTTTTTTAATCTCCTTATTCTTAATTATCTCAGCTTTCAAGGCCACTTTTTTTTGATCAGAAACAGGTGCAACGTTTCTTGACATCTGCTTCCAGACAGTGAGGATATCCATTCTTTTAGTTAGCCCTTGAGTTTTTCATGTAGCTTCAATTCAATTTATTTTCTCAATTTAGGCCCAGATATTTTCATTTTGTTATAAGTTTGAGCCAAACTGACATGAATCTTGCGTCTATCATGCCCGGTATCGCCGAGGCTTTCATTTCAGCGGTTGCTGAAAATTGTGTATCTTGGTAAAAAGTGTGACCTATTTATAATTCAATTTATTTGCAAGTTGTTAATTTCAGAATTTTGCCTTTTAAGTGGTGGTTGAATATAGACTGTGTACCATAATTTTGGAAAGATAAATCGATTTCGCCGAGTTCGGTATCTAATTGACAAGTTTCTATTGTTTGTTCTATTCACTGTTTTTTCGGGTTTGTTTACGCTTTTTTCTTCCAGAGATTTTTAATCAGTGCTCCTTATTATCTATCTCAAAACCTAAGATCCTGATTGTTTGATTTTTTTTAGGATGGTGATATTTTCCTCCTGGAAGGTTCGCATTCATCGTGTTATCAGTAAGTGGGACCAGTACTGGTTTGCTTTATTTATTTTCACGGTTGATGCTAGCTCGTATTGTTTTGTTAATCGAATTAGAGTATTTCAATCGATTTAAGACTCTAGACCAACTGTTAAATAATTGATATCTTAAACCAGAGATCACCTGAGAGGCATCCATCATCGGGAGTTTCTAGACTTTATATTTCTACTAAACGTTATTTTGCAAAATGTTACCACTGTGATATGAAATTAGGAGGAGCGTCTCTCCTGGATAAGATCTAGGAAATTTATGAAGACTTCCGTTATAATTATCTTATAACGCTGCCATATATTTTTGTTTATATGTTTTGACTCGGCTTTAGGTTAGTCTGTACATTTCAAGATTATTGTTCTCTAATCTTTTTTGCCATCTAACTGCGTTTTGAAGCACTAAGACTAATTAATTCTTTTTCACCAATCTTTAAATAAATTCTACCGGGCCCCATTAAAGCGGATCTCTCATTATAGCGGAGTAATTCCTTAGAACTGGTTGAAATAATTTTAATATGTATGTAATCAGTAATGCTATAGCAGAAATATTATAACAGGCGGAATTTCCCAGCATAATTACTACTTTATTGCGAAAATAGAGTGTATTATTTTAATCTGTTAAAGAATCACTTTTTTCAAATGCCTAGCATTAAAGTTGTTCTTTAATGCAATCGTCAATGTCTTATCGTCATTTGCTCCTTGGGCAACTTTAAGAGAATGACATCAGGTTAGAAAGTTCAGTATTGTTACATTTATAATTTTCGCAACTTTATTAACCAACTTTTTATTGTCATAAAATATGACTGGTTCCTACATTTTGAGTTATTCAATGTATTGTGTATTTTTCTAATCGCACATGAATTTCGAAACATTTCAAAAGGCCCAAAGTGCTTGTTTGAGAACGATTCAAATTCACAATGTCAACTAATGACTACTAAATCGATTTAAATTAATCGCGCACCATTTAGCAAGATTGCGTATCTAACCCCATACGACTTCAACGGATTCTTGAATTCTTTTTTCTCGCTCTTTTCAACTTCTCCTTGGATGAGGTGAATGCTGGTCTAGAAAATCTTTTAATGCCTCTCATCACCGGTGTTGAAATCTATTTTGAGATTTATGTTAACATGAGAACAAATTTATTTAATTTAATGTTCTCGGAAATTTATTTATGTTCTCAACAATAAAATTTATTTATATCAAAACTTCGGAAAATATCAGACTTTTTGTCCAAATTTTTGTCCAACCCTTTTTCGCTTTTATTTATGATAATTCATTTTCTTTTTGGATGATTTCAGAACTAAGCTCGATTTCTAATTTTATTTCCATTTGACATTATGCTTTCTACTTATATAGAAACCATTTATCGAGTATTTTTTTCTCAATTTTTTTTTTTTCACAGAGAGCATTAACAGAATATTAAGGTATGTTCTCGTAAGAGTATGAGAACATAAGATTTCCAACATTGCTCATCACAATACTATAATGGTGTCTCCCTAGGGTACACAGATTAGCGTTGGTTCAAAACTATTCGCATTTTTCAAATGGCTATGATTTGAGCTGAGGAGACTTAGAGAAGTATACTGAGGCCACTAGATTACCCTCGGTCACAGCTTTTGAAATCTTGTAATTTTTCTTTCAATATCTTTGATAAATTTTTTCACTTCACCCGAGCCAAGACAAGCATTAAAGGTGTATTTAGGGTAAGTAGAGGTTTAATTAGATTTTTCATTTTAAAGGTAATGGGTGTGAATTATAATACTTAGTAAATTATACCCAAGTAACTTCACATTCGTAGATGGGTTTTAAATTAAGGATGGGTTAATGTCTTATAGTCACCACTGCTTGTCACTGGTTCGTCTTTAATAATCTGGGAGCTCACAACCAGCAATTTTATTTTAACTTTAGGCTTCTTACCAGAAGCGCGGCTATGTGATTTAATCAATATCTAAGATATTAAGAACGGGATTTATCATAGGTTAGTATTCTCATGTGCTTATCAATCGCACATAGACACTATGCTCCGATACGTCCTTTAAATAACAATCAGACTAACAATGAAGCTTAACTATTTACGATTATAATTAGCCGCCTATGCATTGTAACTCTGTTCTTCTCTTTCGCAATTCTCTTAGGTAGACAGGCTTTATGCATCAGTCAAGTCTCAAAGAATTTGTCAATGAAACGTGGTTTGTCATGATTTTATTTTCGAAAATGTCACTTTTATCCGTGATGCCGAATTGGCACTTTTGTTATTATCCTGTCTATTAAATATGTGTCTCTTTAAGCATGACCAATTCAGGTTGAAATAACTGGGTGATGTAATATACACTATTTTGGAACCACAGCTTTATCACTATACGTTGGTCTAAACGGACGATTATTGCGTATATCCAAATCAAGTATGCCTACGAAAATGCGCGAGGACTATTTTGCCATTTAGTAATGAGGTTAGATTGAATTCAAAAATCATGCGCATTTTTTTTTATATATTGTATGTGCGTTGTGAAAGTGGTAACTGCTCCAAATCGGATATATGTTGGGATATGGGTCATAACGATAACTAACACTAATAGTGTTACAAGCCGGCTAGGGCAACCGCGGCTCAAGATCACATGACTTACGAGCATTGAACTCTGAGTTATCCTTAATTAAGGTAAATAATGTTGCTTTATATACATATGGAACCAAGTTATAAAATTTTCTAAGTTTTAGAAATTTACATAATTTTCGAAATTCACTAAATTTGATAAATTTAACAAATTTACAGAATTTTCGAAATTTACAAAATTTTGTCAATCACTTCAGGCGAGTTATGGGTAAATTTGCTTTCTACAACGTTTAAGAGTTGATCTGTGTGTTTGGTAGGGTTATATTAATAACAACAATCAACCACTAATACTATCAACAACACCACACTGAACCTAAATCTCGAATTATGGAAGGGCTACGATTGAGGCATAGATAGATTTGGTACGAATAATTAGGGTTAATAGACTATTGCTCTAATCAGGATGATACTGATTAGATTATTTTCAAATCGGGGATTATTAGAGCAAGACACTTTTATGATTTAGATTTATCTTTATTTTGGGAGAAAACACTCTATATGATCAATTTTTACATCTCTCATTCTCGCTATTCCTCGAATACCTAGAATTACCTGAATTACCCGAATACCAAAAACTCCAGCAATTTCACTTCAAATCACCACAGTATCTTTCGGCCGATCTTGCCCTTTGCACTTATAATGCAGGCAAGTCACTGTAATGCGAGCCAAATTCTATATAAATTTCCAAAATGTTTCTGATATTCATTTCATGTTCATGTAATTGATAGTATCATATTTATCCAGTATAATGGCAAAAATTTATATAGGCCAATGTATACGTTATTTGAGATTGTGATTTATGTGCGGCATGATGCTTATCTTTTTGTCAGATCTTCACACCTTATTTATAATATTCATAACTGATATTTACTTTATCCTGGGTTAAAAATCATGTTACATGTAGTATTAGAACAGAGGAACAAATTTACGTAATAAATAGTTAACAAAACTTTATTTTCCTTCTGGCAAAATTAATTTTATATAGTCAAATTTTCGTTGACGAGTTTTCTTATAATCGATTGAATGTATTTTCATATGACGTTTACTCAGCCAATAAAAATTCAAGATCGATGAACAGATTTTTTAAATTGTTTTTGTTACACAAATCTTGTAATATAAATTGCGTACGTATTGTTTTTCAAAAAAATTTTATTCTTTGAAAATTATTACTTCTGTATCACCGACAATAATTATACAAACGAACAAATTTTTGACGCGTTTTGCCGTTCGCTAGAAGAACTCAAAGATAATTTGGAGCCAGATCCAGAGACCGAAAAGAAGGTCAAAAAAATTCTTGATGTGAAAAAGGTTAGTTGAAATATATAGAAATACCTTTAGGTGGAATATAAGAATATTTTTTTTTATTCTTTTTTTTTTTTTTTTTTGTTGCATAGATTGACAAGAGTATGAAAGACTACTGGAATCTAAAAAGTCGACGCCACTTCTTCAAAATGTCCACGGAGTTGACTGAACTCACCCGTAAATACCTCCAAGTCTTTCCATACAGCCTTTGGTCTGCCGAAAGTTGCTATTCGGCCGTCGCGTTTAGCAACAGCTATTCTAGCGATCAGATTTTTGAGTCCTTCTATAGATCGCTAGAAGAATTAAAAGAAAATTTGGACCCGGATTCGGAGGCCAACAAAAAGTTCAAGAAACTTCTTGATTTCAAAAAGGTTAGTTGCAATATATAGAAAATATTTTAGGCTGAACATAAACCTCATTACCAACGTAAAAACTTTGCTTTTGCTTATGGTCGCGTTGGTGCAAAAGAAAATTTTAATTAATTCATTAACTTTCACTTATTGGACTCATTTAATCTATTTAGCTGAGATATTCTAATATCTATTCTTTATTTTATTTTTTTTTTTGTTGCAAAGATGGACAAGAAGAGGGTGGAAAGACTTCTAACCGACCCAAAAGTAGAAGAGGGTCGAAAGACTGTTAACCGGGCCAAAAGTAGAAGAGTGTGGAAAGACTTTTAACTGGGCCAAAAGTAGAAGAAGTCGCCGCCTCTCCTACAAAAAAACGATTACTCGACGACGATGTGGCTTCGTCAGCTAGCCTTCTTGAGAAGGAGCTACCATGTAAGATCAATTTAGTTTAAATAGGCTTGGTGCTGAGAAAAGGGACGAAATTGACATAAAAAATTCTTCACAAAAAATTAATTATATCTCAAATTCTCATCGGATAATACCAAAATTATGTGATTCTAATAGATAGTCCGAGAGATAATTATGTCAATTTCGTTCCTTTTCACAGCACTAAGCCTAAATTATGATAATGGTGCTTGTCGTATTTTATTTTTAAAAATCTCTACATTTTATAGATTCCATTACGAGGTCTGAGGCTTATAAAGGAGTAAGCTTCCACCAAGTTGCAATTGGCAAACTCTTCCAGGATCCCATTGATCCCCGAATCGGCAAGGGAAAAGCCTCTTGAAGTAAACGCAGACGTGCCAGGGATCAGTGTTTCGGCCTAAACCTGATTTTGCAGATCATTTGCAGATCAAATTGGGCGAAACTAGTTTCGGAGGGTTTCGGACTTATAGGGCGAAAGTAAAATTCCTCTGGGCGAAACGTTTCGGACTTTGGGGGAGGTTTAGGCCGAAACACTGCCAGGGATACACATGATATCCCATATCTAAGCAAATTGAAAACTGATATTAGTGTTTTCAATGCCGAAGATATAGAGGAAGGTTTAATATAAGGACCACATTAACTGTCCTATTATAAATTTATAAAATTCTTATTGGTTCATTAAAGATAAATCTTGTGTTCGAAATTTTTTTTTAAAAATATGTATGCTTGCAAAATTTGTACTCAATTATTAAGTTTTTAGTTTTTTAAAAAAATCTTTTTTCATTAAATAAAATACACAAAACTATTAAATAAATAAAAGTTTCTATATTGACATATTCGTCAAAAGAATTTACAATATTTTCAAATTTGTGCAATACACATCGCTAAATTTCTTGGGTATCCTCTTTTAAATGGAATGTAACAAAGATACTCGTCTTCTATTGGCAACTAATAGAATATCTCCAGGCTGAGAACGCATTTGTACACAAACATTTGCAAAATAGGTATGCATTTATATCTCTTGCATGTAGTTATTGCATCTCATGAATGGGGACATCTAAACATCAAGCTGCAGAATTTTTGTAGATTTTTGGTACAATTGACAATCTGATTCTGGTTCAGACTAACTTAGAGATTAGGTTAATTGATGTAACAACAAATTAAATGAATATCTAGTATTAATCTACCAATCAAGGTTTATTTCATGTTAGATATATCAAAAGCCTCATATCTGCATCGTACGCACTGCGTAAATTGTCTTGTAAAATATTTTCGGAATCTAAATCTCGATGTAAAGGTCGAAAGCGGCTAATTCAATTTAAGTTTACTCAAAACAACTTCAGCACCGGAACATTTGTTTGGATTAGAATTCACGCAGTAATTCAGAGGTTTGTAACCTACTGTAGATCTTTATAAAATCAAAATGCATTTTCCATTTGGCATATTTTTTTCACACGTGAGATGACACTTTTCATCGAAATGATAATTTCATCTATGTGACTATTACACTCTTTTTTTTTATTACGTACGTATTGTATTTGAATATTACATATTCTGATATCTATTTGTCTGTCAATATAGTTTCCTTTTTTGGGTAACAATTGAATACGATTTTCAAATAATTTCTCATTAGGTTAGATTTTCTTGATAACACTCGAATTTCTCTATTTTGTGTAATATGTCCATTTCTCACGTATGTACGTACCAGATTCAATCTCATAAACTATAATAATATGCAACTTTATCATAAATTCTCTGACCAAGAAATTTTGTAAATTACGAGCCGTAATCACCTCTTCAATTACGGTTTACATAATCGTATGTTAATTTCATATTTTCCGGCTGATTCTGCATTTCAGAATGAATTTTCGATATTTTGAATTTCTTCTGAGCACCAAGGTTTTCCTTCTGTTACGTGCGTCAATCTAGGTCCCGAGGGAAGTACCCCTGTAACATCTTCCAGAAAACAGGGTTTTTTTTTATTTAGTACCGAATTTATTGGTTCCAAGTCCAGTAGTACTTCGCTTCTCAGGTTGTGAACTTTATTTGCGAATTTGTCACATGGTAATTGTGTATTTGGCCTCCTTATTCTTAATTATCTCAGCTTTCAAGGCCACTTTTTTTGATCGGAAACAGGTGCAACGTTTCTTGACAACTGCTTCCAGGCAGTGAGGTAGGATCACCATTCTTTTAGTTGGCCCTTGAGCTTTTTATGTAGGTTCAATTCAATTTATTTTCTCAATTTTGACCCAGAGATTTTCACTGGTTATAAGTTTGAGCAAAACTGACATGAGTCTTGCGTCTATTATGTCCGGTATCACCGAGGCTTTCATTTCAGTGGTTGCTGAAAATAGAGCATCTTGGTAAAAAGTGTGACCGCATCGTTAATTTCAGAAATTCGCTTTTCAAGTGGTGGTTGAATATAGATTGTGTACTATAATTTTGGAAAGATAAATCGATTTCGCTGAGTTCGGCATCTAATTGATAAATTTCTATTGTTTGTTCTATCCATTGTTTTTTCAGGTTTGTTTACGTTTTTTTTTCAAAGATTTTTAATCAGAGCTCCTTATTATCTATCTCAAAACCTAAGATCCTGATCGTTTGATCTTCTTTTAGGATGGTGACATGTTCCCGCATTCATCGTTATCAGTAAGTGGAGCCAGTATTGGTTTGCTTTATTTATTTTCACAGTTGATGCTAGCTAGCTTGTATTGTTTTATTAATCGAGAGTATTTCATTCGTTTTAAGACTCTAGACCAACTGCTAAATAATCGATATCTTAAACCAGAGATCACCTTATTTTATATTCTTTCAATTTTGAAAGCTTCTGAGAGGCGTCCATCATCGGGGTTGCAAGACTTTATATTTCTACTAACGTCTATTTTGCAAAATGTTACTGCTATGATGTGAAATTAGGAGGAGCGTCTCTCCTGGATAAAATCTAGGAAATTTCTTAAAATTTATGAAGACATTCGTTATCATCATCTTATAACGCTGCCATATATTTTTTGTTTATATGTTTTGACTCAGCCTCAGGTTAGTCTATACATTTCAAGACTATTGTCCTCTAATCTTTTTTGCAATCTAACTGCGTTTTGAAGCACTAAGACTAATTAATTCTTTTTCATCAATCTTTAAATATATTCTACCGGGCACCGTAAAGCGGATCTCTCATTATAGCGGAGTAATTTCTTAGAACTGGTTGAAATAATTTTAATATGTATGTAATCAGTAATGCTATAACAGAAATTTATTATAACAGGCGGAATTTCCCAGCATAATTACTACTTTATAACGAAAATAGAGTGTATTATTTTAATCTGTTAAAGAAACCTACTCGATCACTTTTTTCAAATATCTAGCTTTAAAGTTGTTCTTTAATGCAATCATCAATGTCTTGTCGTCATTTACTTCTTGGGTAACTTTAAGAGGATCACATAATTGACGCCAGGTTAGAAAGTACTGTATTGTTACATTTATAATTTCGCAACTTTCATTAACCAACTTTTTATTATCATAAAATATGGCTGGTTCCTACATTTTGAGCTATTTAATGTATTGGGGTAAAAACTTCATTCATTTGTATTATTTTTTATTTTTTATTTATTTTTTATTTCATTTTTATTTATTTACTGTTTGAGAACGATTCAAATTCACAATATCAACTAATGACTCTACTAAATTGATCTAAATTAATTGTGCACCATTTAGCAAGATTGCGTATCTAACACAATGCGACTTCAGCAAATTTCTTGAATTCTTTTTTCTCGTTCTTTTCAACTTCTTTCTCCTTGGATGAGGTGGATCTGGTCTAGAAAATCTTTTAATGCGTGTGATAGAAATCAGTTTTGAGATTTAAGTTCTCGAGAACAAATTTATTTAATTTGATGTTCTCGGAAATTTATTAATGTTCTCAACAATAAAATTTATTTATATCCTACTTCGGAACATATCAGAAATTTTATTCAAATTTTTGTCTAAACCTTTCTCGATTATTGTTTATATGTTACTATAGGGTGCACAAAATTAATAAATCATTTTAATATTGTAAAATTTAGATAAAATTTTATACAAATTTTATACATTAATAATTTTATATATACAATTATATAACTTTCATATGTTATAAAACTTAAGTAAATTCTAATATAAATTTAAATAAAGAATTAGCCGATATCTCGAAATTTTACTAAGGCAACCCCCTATTTGCCCTATAAAAAATCGGTACTGTACACAGAAATGCACGGTATTTTATGTGAAAATATGGGTTTTGTGATTGCTGCACGGAAATTGATCATCCAAAAAAATCAAGGTTCGTTACTGCATGAAAAGTTGGAATCTGTGCACCATCGTGCACAATATTATATTCGTGTAATGACGTGTCTCAATCATCAATTTTCATGCACTGACGTGCCACGATTATTACAGCTAATATTTTTTAGATGTCATTTAAATTTCCATGCACTTATGTGTACATTTACTAATTTTCTTAAAGATCATATCCGATAAAAATTCTGTGCACTTGCGTGTACAATTGTTAATATTCTTAATGATAAAGTATCCAATAATATAGTAATTCAGTAGTTGATCGTTAATGATTATAATTTATCTTAGTTCAGTTAAGAATCTTTTATAATTAAGCAATTAATATTTAAGAATCTTAATGATTATAATTTGGTAGTTGATCGTTAAGAATCTTAATTCAGCATAATTTAATGGTTGATCGTTAAGAATCTTAATGATTATAATTTAGTAGTTGATCATTAAGAATCTTAATGATTATAATTTGGTAGCTAAACGTTAAGAATCTTAACGATTATAATTTAGCATAATTCAGTAGTTGATCGAGAATATTACCGATTATAATTGATCATTAAGAATCTTAACTATGATTTAGTAGTTGATCGTTAAGAATCCTAACGATTATGATTTAATAGTTGATCGTTAAGAATCTTAACATTATAATTTGGTAGTTGATCATTAAAAATCTTAACGATTAATAATTGATCATTAAGAATCTTAATGATTAGTAATTCGATAGTTGATCGTTAAGAATCTTAATGATTATAATTTAGCAATTAATCGTTAAGTATCTTAACAATTATAATTTAGTAGTTGATCATTAATGATTATACGTAATTCAGCATAATTTGATGGTTGATCGTTAAGAATCTTAACGATTATAATTTAGCATAATTTAGCAGTTGATCATTAAGAATCTTAACGATTATAATTAGTAGTTGATCGTTAAAAGTCTTAACAATTAGTAATTCAGTAGTTGATCGTTACTTAACGTTTAGTAATTTAGTAGATAATTGTTAAGAACCTTAATTATTAGTAATCCAGTGATTAATAAATTTAGTAGTTGGTCATTAAAAATCTTAATGATTATAATTCAGTAGTTGATCGTTAAGAATCTCAATAATTAGTAGTTCAGTAGTTAATCGTTAAGAGTCTTAACAATTAGTAATTCAGTAGTTGATCGTTAAGAATCTTAACGATTAGTAATTCAGTAGTTGATCGTTAAGAGTTTGAACGTTTAGTAATTAAGTAGTTGATCATTAAGAAACCTAACGATTATAATTTAGCATAATTCAGTAGTTGATCATTAAGAATCTTAACGATTAATTCATTAATTGCAGAATTATGATCATTAAGATTCTTAACGATTTATTCTGCAATTGCTAAATTAATCTTAATGATCATAATTCTGCAATTAATGAATTATCATAATCGTTAAGAATCTTAACAATCACAATTGATGAATTATCGATAATTGTTAAGATTCTTAACGATCATAATTCAGCAATTGATAAATTAATCGTTAAGAATCTCAATAATTATAATTCATCAATTGATGAATTATAATCATTAAGAATCTTAATGATCATATTCAACAATTGCAGAATTAATCATTAAGAATCTTAATGATTATAATTCAGCAATTGCAGAATTAATCATTAAGAATCTTAATGATTATAATTCAGCAATTGCAGAATTAATTGTTAAGAATCTTAATGATTATAATTTGCAATTGTGGTTTGCAAAAAGGCGTGACCCTGTGAGTTCGTAATGATGATAGCGGAAAATTTCTGAAATTTTAATTCCTTATTAATCAAAATTTTCGATCAATAACGTCTATATTTTATTCAGAATCTTTAAAATTCTCTAAGAATCAAAAAATCTACCGGCCGATTTCTCGTGATTTTACATGACATTATGATGAGTAATACGAATAGTAGTGTTACACTTGAAATCGACCTCCTGAAACGATTCTGGGAACTTGATAGTTAGTCTGTCACAGACTATTAAATTAGTAATTTGGTGAAGTTAAGAAGCGTCATATGAGCGACTTAGTAAAGAGGTTGTGAAGGCTTTTATGAAAGAGGCTGACAACACATATGTATATGAAGATACGCAGGGTTGTTTTTAAAAAAAGGTCACAAGTCACACGTGATGATGCAATAACAAACAGGGATCACGAGTCACACGTAAACACGGGCTTTATCAATTTTACGTGTATGAAGACATGAAGTATATGGTTTATTAATAACACAAAGATAACTGTATGAAGACAGTTATGAAATACAATGGAGAATTCGAACTAGGCTATTAAGTGAACTATATATATGGCGATATATAATTATTAAAGGGATGTCGAAGACTGAAGAGCTAACTAGGCTAATTCACGTCCTTTATATAACAAACGTGACTACATAATTAATTTACAATGGATAAATTAAAATGTTGTCTATCGCTATCTAACAATTTATGAATCGTCCCACTATTCTTATCAACACCAATCCCTTTACTATTTTACGCTTAAGCTTCGGGTCTTTATCTTTAATGGACTTCTACCTGGGCTTGATCCATCACGATCTTGATAATAATTTCGTGGGTAGCTCTTAAGCTTATTCCTTTCTTGCTCATCCGTATGAATGGCATGAGCAGGATAGAACTTTTTATTTTAATAGCAGCGGCAATAAGGCCAGTTGGGGTTAGGATCATCGACACAATAACGAATAGACCCTTTTAGGGACTACCATTGATGTCGCGGCATGTGTTGTCTCTATGCTACACATCACCAATATCGGGACTGATATGGTAACTAAAAGCGCTGTATATGGTTTAACAATTTGGGAAAAAGTGTGCTTTGTATGATAGTACAGATACAGGGTCAATACGAATATTAGTAGGGTGATTATCCTTCGATCATTAATGATCGATGGTTTGGGAGTTCAAAAAGATCAATGCTGCGGCAGTTATACGCCACGCCAATCAAGTCCTTCTCCAAGTTGTTGGCACATGCAGCATTACTGTGATAAGGACAGGGGTAAATTCACAGTATCTCTGAATATCCCGGGGTAGTACGTGAAATGGTTCTAGAAATATCGGGAGACAATTTCCAGGTAACATTTACTCCCCCCCTTAATCATGAGCTCCTGCAAATGAGCGATAGGGGTTCACAGAATTTCTAAATTCAGACCGCTCATTGCTTTCCTTTCTGTGACAACTTTCCAATACAGAGCATTGGTGTGACCCGAAGTTACAGGTTAATCTAAGCCCCAACTTAATGAAGATCC